GGAGATTGGACCACGGTCCCGCAGATTGGACCATGTGTGACTGTGATATCCAGTTGGAATATTGTCTCTCTGTCCAGCCAGTGGTCACCAATGGAAGGTTTATTTGTTTAACCTGCTTTAATACATACAGGTTTATGACATCAGCAGGTCAGACTTAATCTAATCCCTAACCAATCCACAGCAATAAACATGGATCAAAGTTCCTTAACTCAAACTAACTTGCTGAAACTGAGCCGCTTGTTTTCACGATACACAATCATATCTGCATTCAAGCGGAATCCATGTCTCTCTCACCATCAAAGGAAACTTTGATTTCCTGACTTATTAAACAGGAAACCTTTGAAGTTTATGAAGATTATGTCACTAAATTTTTCAACATAAAGAAAATGAAGCCATACCAAAGCAAACAGGCGCAGCATCATGTTCAGCTGAATGATGTAGGTCTATGTTTTTTGTTTTTTAACTTTTCTGGAATGACTATCACCCTGATGACTAAATGACTGTGTTGAACCATATCTGTTCATTTCTAGATGCTGCAATCTGTCGGTTTTTCATAAAAAAAAAAAACTAAAATAATTATGTGCAAAAAATGATTCATATTCTTTGGGTCAAACTCTCATCTGTGAATGAAATAAAAAGATCATGCAGTGGTCCTGACCAAACTCTGATATTAATATTTGTGTTTTTTTCAGCTCTGAATGTCAGAGACGTCCGATCTGCCGACATTCTGAGATATTATGGAGCAGCAGGAGAAAACCTCACCTATCCCTGCTCTTTCACCATATCTGGAGCAGTGAAGATGTTCTGCAGGGAAACCTGTGAAGGATCAAACCTCCTAGTTAAAACAAGTTCTGACTCAGCTCAGGAAGGACGATACAGAACCCAATATGTTAAAGAAGCTTCAAAAACATTCTCAGTGCTGTCCGTTAGCATTACGGAGCTGACCTGGTCCGACTCAGGGCGCTACAGGTGTGGTCTGGATGACTCTTTGTCATCAGCTTCATACCTGGACTTCAGACTGGTCATCGTAGACGGTGAGCCTCTTCTTCTCTTAGGAACTAAAGGAACGTTTCAGGAGATTTCTGGAAAGTCCAGGTTTTAGTTCCCTTGTTAAAAAATCCTGGCAGGTTAGTTCATCGTCAGGAAGACTTTAGAGCCTTTGGTTTTTAGACTCCATGTTTCACTTAGAGGAGCAGATCTAAAAACCTCCAGAGGATGAAATGATGAAGAGTGAGGAAGAATTTTCTGCTGTTTTAGTCTCTGTCCAGTTCAGCTGGGCTGCCTCCAGTTGAAACTGGTATTAATCCAGAGCGCCAAACGGCTGCTGGACTTCCAGGCTTCGTCCGACCGTCCGCCCTAAACCCCTCCGTCACTATAGAGAGCGGGGACTATAGTGAACTTTATAGTGAACTCAGTTAACTGACCGTTCAGACAAATGATCACTACTCTTTACTCCCCATTAGTCACGTTACCTCGCCAACACGCCGTGGCGTGCAGCCGCCATTTTGTTCAGTCTCTCTGCCATAACAAGTCCCCTGATGCTCTTGCAAAGCATTATGGGATATATCTGCTTATCTAGTGACCATGGATGATCACTTCTTTTCAAGGTGCACTGTGGGAAACTTGGAGTCCACTACTTTTTCATCCACTAGATGTTGGGACACTCATTTAAAATGGCGTCACCACTATGTCATGATTAGGGCGGACATTCGGACACAGCCCTGTCTTTCTTTTTGATGACCTTTGACCTTCATCTAAACCTGTTTGGAAGCAGCTGTGAGCGCAGCTAACCCATCCCTGACAGCGTNCTTGTGCATCGACTACTCTACCGTCACCAAGTCTCACTGATGGTGGCTTTGTGAATTCCTGGTAGTATTTCTATAGAGCATTTCATGTGTCTTGATGCTCCTGAATCAATCAGACATTCGACTTGTTTCACTTTTTCACCCTGATTATTCTCTCTGGCAACAATTGCGCTTTCAGTTGCACTCTCAGAATTTTCATTCTCCTCACATGTTGCTTGTTTTACCTTTTGGGTTTGAATTTTATTTCTTATCTTTGGACAATTTCGTTTCAGTTGTCCCTCCTTCCCACAGTTAAAACATTTCCACTTGGATCTGTCGGCTGTGGATCCCCACTCACTTGCGTTTTCATTGCAGATGCGCTACCTGGTGTTGCACCACTGGTACTGTCATTTGCCTGCACGCGTTTTTGTTTAGTTCCTCATTTACTGCACAAATTGAAGAGTCAAACTGTCCATCTTTGTCTCCAGAGCAGTGACAGTTGCTGCATAGCTGGGTGAAGACTACCAAGCAATGTCAGAATCTGATCCTCCTCCTCATTTACTGCACCAATAGCACTGAGTTGATCAGTTAATTCCTTCATGCGCTTCAATGCTCGGTTATCGTTTCTCCTTCCTTCATTTCACACCTGAAGTACTTCTTCTTTAGAAACTATTTATTTTCTAGAGTGTCTCTCTAATAATGACCCTTCAGCGTATTCCACGCTTCTTTAGGTGACTGGCAGCTTGTAATCAGGTACAGTTGAGATGTACTTACGTTAAGCTCCAACAGTGAAACTGCTTTTTCTTTCCTTTAGCGAATTCGGCTCGAGTAGCTGCATTAGCATCTGGCAGCAATGTTTCCGTCTCCATTACCATGGCCCATAGCCTTCTAGCTTTCAGCAGATGCTCCCTCTGGAAATTTGTTGTCTGGTCCTCTTAGCTTGTCGATAAACAGTCTGTCCTCCATTGTGAATCCCACAACACCGAGTGCTCCACACAGAATCCATGTAAAACCACTGTTTTAAGCTCTTTTATTGGAACTGACTGGGAGCGACTGGGACCAACTGGGCCCATAACCTCATGAAGTTGGCGAGCATTTATTTAACTAAAAACCACTGAACATACATAGCACCACAAGGTGGCAGTATTTCACACCCTGACCTGCATTGTCAAATTACTGTTTTACAGCAAAATGATGGTCAGTTCATTGGTTTAGCTGCTGGGATGCTCTGAGGGAGTCAGATTAGAATCAGATTAGAATCAGATTAGAATCAGATTAGAATCAGATTAGCAGCATAGATGATCTACAGCAGACAGATGTGTGACAAAGGTCTTTGATAACAGATTCCAGGTTCACTTAATCCACTAATTCAATTGAGAAAGCTTCCTGGAGAGGAAGAGAAACGTCTTCAAATGTTTCAAACCAAGTCCAGTGGATTTTTTTTTTTACTTTTATGGAATGACAATGACCTGGATGACTGAGAACCTTCATCAGCAATAATTCAAAGTTACTGATCTATATAATGCATTTGATGATTTGATGGACCACAGTCCTGGAG